TGAATGGGCTCAGCAAATTGTGCGGGGTGGCACTGAAGCGAAATTAACGCATCACACTTCAGAAATTCGAAACCCATCTCAAGTGAACACAGCCAAAAGTTGGCTTCCTTAAGGCAAACCCCGGGATTAAACTGGTGCTAACAGCGCTTCGTAGTGATAGCTTAGCTGCGGAACGACCTGAAAGTGGAAAGGAAAGCAAGAGAAATCTTTGGGAACGCTGAAATTAAGGCCTTAACCTTCAATAAGGTCGGATGTGGTACGATGGCGAGACAGGGCGATCAAAGAAGACAAAATACGCGAGAGAGCACGCTGATCTCTACATCAATGCACGCTGATCTCACCACTCGTGGGTGGGAAGCGTTGGAACGGGGTCGATGGTTGCAGGCCCGTAAGGATTAGCGCCCTAACCGCGCAATTTTTGCGACGAAGCTGGAGTGATCTAGGTAGGTACGGACCTTACAATTTCCCTCGCGGTATCCTTCCCACATGTCGGGCCAATCCCGGGTTTGCCTTCAACACGTTGACGACATTGTGCAGCGCATGCGCATCACACCTTGAGCACCGTGTGGGACCGTGTGCAGCGCATGCGCTGCACACATGCATCTGTTCCATAGACTACACCATAATATGACTAGACACGGCGAGGTTCATTGAATGGTTGAATATGCTCCTTTTTAGCGAAGGTTTTCTAAGCCCTACGAATTTCCCAATTGTGTTCATTCCTAGTTTCCTTTATATTCTGATAATCTTGGTCATAAAAAAGAGCAGTAGAAGTAAGTACAGACCCACACATATAGCAAGACATATGTTTTTAGTGGAGCAACCGCGTCAAAAATAATTTTGAGGTTCACTACAGCAAAAGCAACTGAAACTTGCCTTTCATCGCCAGAAAACGTCAATTCGATCGATTTTTTACAGTTGTCCCTTCTGATAAGTTTGACGCATCGAATATCATTCTAAACATACAACCCACACTCTCTCAACCGGTCTTTCTCTAGTGGACGATTATTGGCGTTCCACTTCCTTTTTTCCTAGTGTTGGTTTCGCGCAGTCGCAGAATCCATGTCTCTCGTAGTCTTCGCCACTTTGTCCTGTTCCATTTTTTAGCTGAACAGCCGAAGGACTTCAACAATGTTCTGTATGAGTGAAACATCACGGAATATGCTCACTCATTTCGCGTATGTGAATGTCTAATTGATGTTTCTGTAGTATTTCACTAGAAGGGCGGAAACGGCAAAGTAGCGGTTGGCGGTATTTCTTCTCCGTTCCCCTGAGCCGCCGGTTAATCGGATCGAATCTGGCTCGGGTCAACAAAACTCTCCATATCAGCGGGGTTGGTTGACCGATACAAACTTGTCCGGAAGAATAAATTCTTTTTGCTGCTTCTTGACTGGCCTACAAACGGCGTTCTTGTGAGCCATGCATTATTCAAAACTACTCTAAGTAGGCTTGCGAGAAGTCACTCATGTCTTACCATACTTTTCAAAACCGTGGCCTATGACCAGTACTTCACTCTTGTAACATTATCATGTTATTCAATGGCGAAAGTGGCTGCTACTTGCTGACTCTTCATTTTTCACCCACCCTTCTTGGGGTGCTATGCGAGCCTTCGGAAAAAAGAGCTTTTTAGTGGACTTATTTTGTACAAAACCCCATATTAGTATCCCTATCGAATCATACACTCGGGGCATGTGCTTTTGAAGTTGATTAGATATGACCGGCTCCCGCAATCCACTTCGATTAGATATTGTCACTTTAATTAGATATCGTGAGTGGCCCCCTCAAACTGCATTTCAACCCCATATAGTGTTCCTTTGAAGATTCACAGTACGGGACGATAGATCCTTCTGCAGCTACTCGTTCATACTCGTTCTCATTTGAGAGTTCTCGGCTCTTTAGCAGAATACGAGGGTATCCTCTAGGACTAACCATAAGCCGGAGGAGGCATAACATTAGGTAAAATAAAAATTGTATCACAAAGAGGCACCAAAATTTGGTAAGTGAAAGAATTCCAAAACCTCACAAAATTCGAAGTATTCTGAAAGCTCTCAAAAATGCCCAGAAACCCAAGAACCAGTAAAAATTTTGGATTTTTTTTTGAGTTTTTGGAATACTTGGATTTTGGTGAACTTTTGGAATTATTTTTGGAATAAAATTTTGGTGCGTCTTTGTGTTATACAATCTTTAGGTTCTGATGAGGCTCCGGGACAGCGCTAATGCTAAGAAAATAAAAAGTGATTACGCACCCTGGAATTCCTCCTCTTGCGTCTACTGCGTATTCCCGAATCCGATTTCAATAAAAAGGAGATGTTTCACATGGCTTCGAATGCATTGCCATCATAGTGCTTCTGTATAGTGCGATAGCGCCGAGTTCTCGCTCTCAGGCAGCTGCTACAAAATACCTTCACCTTTCAATATGTAGATGGAAAAGACTGCTAAATTCTGTGCTGTTCTCAGCAATCTGAAGTCTCAATTTTATATTTTTGCCTCAAAAATTCAGCTTGGACAGCGAATTCGTTATGTGTTTACGGTAGCGGCGTTTTATTTCTCATGCTTACAACTACCTTACAAATTCATTCCAGTGCCTTCCACATTTGCAAAACACTTCTATTCTTGCTTATATCGCTGATTAAGTAACTCATTATGCCTTTGGAAAGAAGAGGAATACATATCGCGTCTAATGAAGGCAACTGCTGTCAACAAACTCCCCTATTCAACATGAGACCTCACTGGTTTATACCTTCAATGAACAGTGGCAGTCAGAAGTATGATGGGTCGATTCTTCTCAAATGTAAAAGTAGGAATGAGAGGTGGACCGCAATGGAGAAGAAAGGAAAGAAAATCCTGACATGCACAGGAAATACGAGTATTCTGCTGTGGAGAAGTTCAAAAGACAGGCAGGGAGATGAGAGATAATGTGAGCGCGGAGGGTGGTAGAGAAGTCCGAGAAGAGAGAGCATAGCAGATCAACGTGGCGACGCAGACAAGATATCGAACGGTGGGCGGACCATGTTAAGTTTGGTGGAGTCTGTTAGAAGTTCATGGCGCCTGGGTCTGGTGGCGGGTTTTGCGATGCAGAAAGGTGGCGCTAACTTTGCACTTGGGTAACCAGCACTTCTAGACATGGGAACGGGGTGGTAGGTGGACCTGGGCCGAACCTTTGCCTTCAAACACTCGTAGGACTCACTGAGAGCAACGTTAGCAAACTTGACAGAGCGACGAATTGCTTAAGGAGGAATTCACGATTAGAATGAAGGTCGAAGAAAGGGAAACTGACCTAGTTGAGGGACCCACGGACCTCCTGAGGGTGCGAACTGACGCGCAATTCGCATGGAAAAATTTGACCTCGGCGACCTATCATGCCTCAAAGCTGGCGGGTCCGGCGATCTCCGCCCACCGATCATCTGATCACTCGCCGTAGTTCAATACGTGGCGAGTGATTAGATAGCTGAGAGAGCGTAGTGTTGAAGAGGGCACAGCGATGAGAGTCGCATCAATGCTCAAATCAACGGGCAAGGAAGGGGTACCATTTCTCGGTTCTGGGCCGTTTCTCATGGTTCTTCCTTCTTTCGTGTACCACTCACCATCCCTAGGTTAATTTGAAATGGGTTGCTTTTTCATCGTGAATTCGTCCTTTAAGTGCAAACAACCATGGCACTGTAAGGAATCTGTAGAGTGTGAGCTAGTTGTCCATAGTTTATCATGATACTTCCCTGCCTGCTATATAACGAAGATTTGTCATTTCAATAGTATATAGTAACGGGCCAATGTATGCGCCGGAACCTCCTACGAAACCTTTGAAACCAAAAATTGTAGATCTAATGGTGGCTTTGTCTTTCATCTTCATTAAAAATCCGAAGGCTTATGTGGAAATGCAGAAACAGTAAGCGGCATAAATGCAGTGACCGTGATCGAACTAGTGAGCAGA